TTTTTTGTTAGTTGCTGATTCTGTTTTTCTAGCTCGACAACTGAAAATTGAAATTTGTTTAGACTTTTTGAGCTAATGCTACCCATGTAGCCGATTTTATGAAATAATGGGCATTGCAATGCATTATTTTACAATAGAAATGCAATGGATGCAATTACATGATAATGCAACCTATTTCATGCATTATAATGCATTATTTTTAATTAATCCATTGCAATACATTGATTTATCAACGCATCATAATGCATTTTTTTTTATAATAATGCATTACAATGCATTGAAAATTTAGGCATTATCCTTCATTTTCAGCATTATTAGAAATAATGCATTGAAATGCATTGAAAAGTCAAAAAATAATTAATTATAATGCATTAATTCATGTTTTTCTTCAAATAATGGAAAATAATGGATCATTTTCCATTATTCATCCATTATCGGCTACATGGGTATTATATTTAATCAACAAATATTAGTATACCTATCCGATGTCTGGCACCACAAATACTTCAAAGAACAAAAAAGTTTTTATATGTATTCAAAAGATATGTAATCGTACCAAAGCAAAAGAATTGAAGCGATCAAATAGGCATATTAAACTTTGTTTTGTTTTGACAGCTTTTGGAAATTGAACATACCTCTTTAAATTTATAGCAAAACCAAACAGGAGTGCGGTGGAGATCATACATGATCTCTCAAAATGCTAAGATATTTATAAAACTAGCACAGAATATTTATGTAATATCCAAACAATTCATTAGAAAGCCATGGCCTTCTACTGTGACTTTTGCAAATATGACTCAGGGGTGGCCTTCTAATGGGGGTGGCCTTCTATTCTGGGGTGGCCTTCTATTCTGGGGGGGAGTTTACGACAAGATTAGTTATTTTTTTCTTCAGTCTAGATCAGCTACTTTCTCTTTATATATTTATATATTAATTTCAATTTTATTAATATAGAAAGAAAAAAGAAGATAGTTATTTCCATTGTAAATATATTTTATTATACACATGTTTGATTGTATAATTGAATAATAATTTTTCTGAACGAATCATCGTATCAAAACTTTTAATGATTTCATCATCCATTGTTGGAACATCGATACATAATGAACGAATAGAGCAAATATCATTATTATTATATATGGCCTTCAAAAAGGTACGTAAACAAAATTGAATATTTATATTGAATTGTTTCACTTGTAAAAATTTCATACGAGGACAAAGAAGTAAAATATAATCCAAATCATTAATATCATTTATTTCTTCAATGTAAACTTTAGCAATTTTACTATAGCTTTTAAATGACGCAACAGTACAAAATTCTTCAAAAGTAAATGATGTTGTTTCATATAATGGTAAAGAATGAATTTTTAATGTAACTAAATCAGGTAATAAATTAATTAATTTAATTGCTAGATGCATTGAATGTTTTTCAATAATATTTAAATGATAAATTTGTGTTATATTTAATACACGTTTTATTTGTGCAAATATCATTTCATCATATGACCAGGTACGAAAATTAGTGAATATTAAACTTGTTGATGTTGAATATTCAATATTGTTATCATCTATGTAATTGTACCATGTTTTTCTGAAAAAAGAATAGAAGAATAAATTTTTTTAATAAAAAATATTGATCGATATACTTGTATGGATAAATCATATATTTGATATCTGTATTATCAATTTTAACATGAACTATCCATTTTCGTTGAATCCAAAATGATGATGAAAATTGATTTACTGGTCCAGTATATATTGGATATTGATTATTATTATTATTACCATCATTATAGGGTGTGGGTGGGTGTGGGTGTGGGTGTGAGTGGATGTGGGTGTGGG